TTGAATAATCTGAAGGATGAGATGCAATAAATACAAGTAGGAATGTCCTTGAAGAGCTGAACATTTTGATACGTGAATGGCTTCTCTAGCTGAAAGTATGCTGAACTTATAAAGATGTGAACATTCCAATTGGTCCCTCAAAGTAGGTAAAACAAGTGTGTGTGTGTGTGTGTGTGTGTGTGTGTGTGTGTGTGTGTGTGTGTGTGTGTGTGTGTGTGTGGGCGAGAGTGTGGAGATAGGACGGGATTGCACTGCATTTTATAGACCACCAGATGGCACTCCAGGACCGTGTCACTGAATCAGCACTTTGAGCTTCCGTTGACTTCTATTGTAAACAAAAAGCTGAATAAATTAAAAAGTATAAACTTTATAAAAAAGAAAAATACAAGCAAGGAATGTCCTTGAAGAGCTGAACAGTTTGATACCAGAATGGCCTGTATAGCTGAAAGTATGCTGGACTTATAAAGTGCCAAAGAAATGGACGGAAGACCCCAGAATGATCAGGATAACATAGTGTGGATGCTTTACAGCATCCACACAATTATTCAGCTCTGAAGGTTCTCCACCTTTAAGTTAGGGGAGAACATCAGCAGCTTTCCAAGTTTTAGTATATATAGTTTTTTGGATGGTGGGATAAGGGGGCCTCCAAAAGCGAAGTGCCCCAGGGCCTCCCAGGATCATAATACAGCCCTGTTTTCTACCCTGTTTAAAAATATGTTCTGCAAACTAGCAGTGTCTGCCACCTAGCAAAAGTTATAAGAAGTGTTCTCCCAACTGCATGTAGTCATTTTGAACAGTAAACCCTGGAGGACCTCTTGGCAACAACACGTCAGACTGTATCCAAAACAGTACCTCAGCTTTGTGCCACAGACACATAAACACAACAAACTCTGCCATCCTTATGTAATTTGGTACACACTGGGGGCCATTGTAATGGAGTCAGATTCCTTGTATGTTTTAACATACTTGGCTATAAAGATTATGATTGATTGATTGGTTGGTTGGTTAATTGATTGCTCAGCTTCAAGTCTTTTGGTGTGGTTCAAGATCCCCATGGCTGTCTTGATGCAACCTAAAAGCTGAATTAGCTTAAGTGTTTATCTTCACATCAAACAGACATGGCTAAGTAAATACATCTTATACAATCAGTGTTAGCCATATGTATTGTCTTTGTATCATCAAACACTAAAATATCAGCCTCATGACATTGTGCTGATGTAGTGCTGCCACAAAGCCAGGACTCATTAGTCAGCTAATGCTAGCTTTGGACTAAAGGCTGCCTTCAGTTTGTCACAACCAGGCATCCATAATTCAGATATTAACATTAGGAAACAGGACAGGAGGGGCAAAGAGTGCTCAGGACTGGTTTATGATCTCAGTTTGTTTTGAGTCTCACTATACCCTCTAGCAACTGAAAAGAATTTTGGTCAAGTACCTTCAGTTTTTATTATTTGAATCCTCAGCTACAAGTCCTGCATGTCCTGCATTCAGATGGTCAGTGACCCCTGAAATCCTGGCATGTACTATACAGTGACGTGCGGTGAGGTTGACAGCTGGTGAGGCACTGACTCTTTTACAGTCAGATTTACAAATACAAATGAACTGTTAACAAATTGTCTGTTAACAGACAATGCGTTATGTTTTATATCTCATATCAACATTCTTCACACAAACGTGACTCATATTTAATTTGAGGTTAAAATTTATTCCAGTTGAGCTTATTTCTAACTAGAAATAATAAAAGTTTATGGTCTTACCTTTACTTGTACACGAAATCCATTTGTCAGCTGGTATGTATTACAAACCCTTTTACCGTTCGAATCCAATATTAAAACAAATGTTTTCAATAAAGAAGATCCTTCTGGACAAAAATGTCCAGACTGTCAAAAATGTTTTGATTGAAAGTCCAGATTTGCGAATTTTCTCAGCTTGGAAATGTAATCTTCCATTTTGATAAGGCGGATTGTAAAGGAAATATAAACAAGCACGAAGAAGATTGTAGGTAGCGCAAGAATCTGTGGGCTCACTAGCGCCCTCTGCC